AAATGCCCAATCATAACCCATACTTGCAAACATACAATCCTAGTTAGAGACATCACTCAAATTTCAGTTGGAAAAGTGACAATGCATAAACTTCACAACCACGATTTCAAGCACACAATAATTTTCAATATTCTCATGGATATGCACCTCCTTATACTCCACCTTCTAGAAGAAATTTTGAGGAAACTTTGTATGCATTCATTAAAAAGCAAGAGACAATCAACACTCAACTTGCTCAAAGCATAATAGATTTTAAAGATACTCTTGCAAAATTCACATCTGCTTTTAGTTTTTAAGAGAAAGGTAAGTTTCCATCTTAACCATAGTTAAATCCCAAGGGGCAATATAATGCAAATGCAAGTAGTTCCGAAAGCCAACACTTGGATCAAGTCAAAGCAGTCAGCATTCTTTGTAGTGGTAAGGTTATCGAAAAACTCACTCTTGAACCTTGTGAGAAAAATGATGAATCAATCTCTGAGGGTAAGGAAGGGGTTGATCTGAAAATTACAAAGAAAAGACTAATTCCCTATCAACATTTCCATTTCCTTATGTCATGACCAAACAAAAAAAAATCAATCACAACTCTAAAATCTTTGAAACTTTCAAATAGCTAAGGATCAATATACCTTTGTTGGATGCTATTAAACATGTTCCTTTTTATGCTAAATTTTTAAAAGATCAGTGCACTGTGAAAAGAAAACTGAATGTGAAAAGAAAGACTTTTTAACTTAACAAGTAAGTGTTATTCTTCAAAACAATAATGCTTTGAAATATAAAGACTATGGATAGATTAATGGAAATTGAATGATGAATACCTTGCTTTGTGGAATTTATAAATTAGTTTTCTATTTTGCCTATTATTATTATTATTATTACTACTACTACTACTATTGTTGTTATTTGTTATATTATTATTATCTTCAGAATAATAATACATTGAAATATAAAGACCCTGGTTGGCCTATTATTACTACTACTACTACTACTACTATTATTACTACTAATATTATTATTGTTATTGTTGTTGTATTATTATTATCTGTAATTTATACAATTAACCTTCCTCTGATTCGACCCCGGTCTTGCCGGGTTATTTATTACTTCGACACTCTTGCACTTTGGAGAAGATATCAATCTTTTGGTTGTATCAATGTTACAAGTTTTGAAATGATTGGTCAATAACTTAGTATCTAAATAATATAAAGAAAACTCTGCCAAAATTTTAGAAAAATATATAGATAAAAAAAAATTGATAACTATGAATATATATCATATAATTTGAGTTTACAAGTTTGAGACTGTTACACAACATATCTAAAACTCGGTCTAATTTGATAGTGGAAGGCACATATATGACTTCTTTAGCACCAACCCTTTTGTCTTTTCTCTTAAGCTTTAGTTATTGAACATTCTAACTTTACATATAGAGAAAGCGGTTACTTGAATTTGTTTTACAAAAATATCACTACTTAATCCAGATATCATTTTATATATTTTTATTTAACCATTGTACCATTTCAATACCTTATCAAACTCTAATCGACCTAAACATTTAACACAAAATTGAATAATAGGTTCAGAAAATCCACATAAAATTTCATTTTAATCCAATAGTCAGGTTGAATTATATGCTTAATACAATAAAACTGGACATTAAGTAATTTTACACCAAAAATCTAAATTGTGTGTACTTTTTTATTTACTTAAATCATCATGATTTCTAAATAAATTCATTAGAGACTCCCATTTATGATCATAATAAAATATTCCTAAGAGTTTTTACTATTTTTAGTCAAATAGCATGATTATACATGTTGTTTATATCAATAATCAATGTTTGTTGCATGTAAGGTCACACATGAATTTATTTGGAATTTCATTCTATATTCTTTCTAAGTATTTACACTCTAAATATATAAACAAATCTCCTTTTGAAAAAAATTATTTTACATGACTGAGAAGATTATACAATTTATCACTAATTAACAATCTGTGTGCCAATTTTATTACTTTATTTCATCTGAAATTTAAGTTAAATTACTAAAAAAATTTATCTCTATTTATAACAATTTTCTTTTTAATTATCATTTCTCAATCAAAATTTACTATTTTTAGCACTGATTTATCAATTTTAGGTTGGGGGTTTAAAAAGAACCAAAGAGAAGGAAAACAAAAGAAAAGGAGAGGAGAGTGGTCCCCTAACATATCAGAGGCAAAATAAAAAATAATCCCCTGTGATCTAGTTTTGAAAAACTATCTTTAAACCCACAAATGATTTCACAACCACTTGTCTTTTTTAAGCTATAAAAAAGGTGTCTTTTGAAGCTCAAAGGAGATTAAAAGGGAGAAAAAAAACCATGAAAAAAAGAAAAAGTATTAAGAGAAAACCAATCAAACAAAAAAAAAGAAAAAATTATAAGGAAAAAAAATGAAAGATGATACCGTGAAGAAAAAGATCAAAATAGCTTTGAAGGAGCTACTTGAATCTATTCAAATAAAGCAAAAAAGACAAAAATTAGTTACAATCGTCTCTTGAAGGTGAATTACTCAACTTGATGGAGGGTAGAACTCATTGATAATACCCCACTTCTCTCCATTTTAATCTTTGATCCATTCATTCAAGTGTTAATCATAATGCTTTTGAATTTATTTGATCATATTTTTTAGTTGTTTTTGCATACATTTCCAAGTTGCTTTAAAAGCAAGATGTAATATGATTGTTTATTCTTATTGTTAATATGGTGTTTTTATAATGTTTAATAAATGATGAATAATATGTTTTTAATGTTCGAATATTTATTCTTGATGTATGAAAAGCATATGTTATGGTTTGATACTTATATATAAAAATAGGACATATAACAATACTTTGTCATTCTAGTGTTTTTGTTTAGTTTTGAAAGTTCATGTAGGTCATTTTGATGTTAATATTTTTTTTTCATGTTAAATGAGCTTTTGGATTGATAAAAACAATATATGTGTATGCTTGTATGTTGATAGTAGGTTATAAGTTTTGAATTCTATTCATTTTAAGGTTTACATGTTTATTGTTTTTTTTTTAAGGCTTAAGCATGTGTAAATGAATATATGTTACTTATATGTATAGGTCATAGGCCTTTATTCTGGTATATTTTCTCAATTTTAGCACACAAATTGCTCTGGGTCCATGACTTCCATGTTGTTTTGATCAATTATTGATTTTTACATATGCTTATAAGTTTGTTGATCATTAATATAGAATCTTAAATGCTCAAAATCACTAAAATGTTGACATTTAATTTTTGATTTTTTATTTGTATTTTTTTTAAATCAAATAATCAAGATGATTAGTTATTTATTGTGATAATCTAGCCTTAAAATTTTGCTTCAACAATGACTTTCCATGTCTTATGTTTTTGACTTTGTGAAATTTGATATTAAATTGATTATGTGTTTCTATGTTTATGTTAAATGTTATTTATATTCTTGACAAATTTTGAGTTTTAATCCATTTCAATTTGAGAATTAGAAAAAAAAAATGTTTTTGTCTTGTTTAATCGATTTTCATTAGTTTAGGTCCTTGTTTTCTTGTTTGTGGGTTAAACCCACCAAGCTTAGCTCAAATGATTTAGCTGATCCATAAAACTTTAAAGTCTTGTTTAAACTGTCCTAATTTTTTAAGAAAAAAACCATTTTTCTTTTCTTATGCAATGTTTAGCAAATACACTCTTAGTCCTTAATTTCCATTTTTCTTCTTTATATTTTTGATTTATTATCAAACAAACCCCAAATGATTTCCAAGAATTCTAAAAATAATTCAAGGACTGTTTTAAAATTATTTGTTAGTCCCTTTCATGTTTTTCAACCATTTCATTTAATATTTGAGCTGTAAATTTATATTATAAGATACTAACCTAGTATTAAATATTCCTGTTTTTCTTTAAAATTTCATTAAAAATCACAAAAAATCCAAAATTTCTTATATAATAAATATAAATAAAATACATTTTTATTTGTGTGCATACAACCAAATTTTAAAAATTTTCATGAATATTTTATAAAAAAATAAAAATTGCATTTTATCATACTTTGAAAAATAAAAAAATCAATTAATATTTATTATAGATAATATTTTATTAAGAGTATTTTGTTATGCTCTACTTAGTGTACCAAGATAAGAAAATCATTAAGAAAATAACTCACTATTTATCATGCTAAATCTAATACTTATTTCATCATAGCAATAGATAGAAAATAATAATTTTCTAGAGCCATTAAAAATATTATATAACTTAGTTTTACATTTTAATATAGATTTTGGAATCTCCAATCAACTAGGTGTGATTACCATCATTATAATATTTTAACTTTATAAGCTTTAAGTTCATTCTGAATTGTACACATGCTCTCATAATAAATCTTTAGTTAATAGATCCATAATATTTTATTTGACTTTAGTCAATTGAAACAATTCTATTTAAGAGCTAATATTTAATGATATTATATCTATAATGTATATGTCTAGGCTTACTATTATACATATTTTTAGCTAGCATGGAATATTCTCTAAAAAATTTTAAATTCATTTAGCTTTTTCTCTGGCATTATCTAAAGTAATAAACTTTTATTTTATTATAAATCTTATAATATATATTTACTTAGAGAATTTCTATAATACAATTACTTCACCAAGTATGATAATATATTAATTTATGGATTTTGAATCATTAATGTCAAATTTCTAATTAAAATTATTATATTTTTATAGTACTAATAGGTAACTAACTAGTATAATATAGTTTATAGTGTAAGATATACATTAAATATTTAAATATCTTTTTTATCGCCTTAATATTAAATTCAATTGCAAATCCTATTGATCTCTAATAGCATTCTCTAATATATATATATATATATAAACGTTACCTTTTCATGTTTTTGGAAGTATAATGAAGTGAATTGGAGATTTTTTTGGTGAGATAGATATAAAAAAAAAACATATATTTGTAACTTTTAATGAGGTGTGGCTGTGCTTAAGATGAAATTTTGTATCTACCATCCCATCCCCAAACACACGGTCTCTTCCCCAAAACGTAAACTCATTTACAGGTAAGGATCAGATCTGTTAGAAGGAGAATAGACGAAATGGATTTGGAATCTGTGAGGAGATACATAGAGAAAGGAGGACATGAAGATGACAAGAGAGCATCAAAAATTGAAGAAATGCGATTCTTTGAAAGTTTCGTAATGGAAGGCCTTCATATTGATCTCATCGAACCTGGGCGTGTTGTTTGCTCCATGAAAGTCCCTCCTCGTCTTCTGGTAACCACTTCAAACCCCAAACTCGGTGCTTTATTGCTATCAACCTATTGAAATGCATAATCAAGGATCTCAAGATGACTCCTTTTGATTCTTGGGACAACTTCCACGGCGGACTATTGTTTTCCCTTGATTGGTTTTGACAACAGAACTAAGGCAAATTAGAGAAATGGTTAGATTACCCTCCATTTAGTTTGGTCGTTCAGACAACTCATGATGACCAAGAGAAAGTTGAGATTTTTTTTTATGTCTGCTCTTTAGGTAGGATTTTTTTTTAAGTAATTTTCTTTATATTCTTGTTTTGAGATAAAATACTAAACAGTTCGTAAATTTGTTCCATAATTTTAAGCCAAACAATGGTTTTATCATTTTGGTTTTAAAGGGTGTTGCTGATTATTGGGGTTTTTCTTGATGGCTTATTGTGAAGAACGGCAGCGATTGCTTGCATGCTGGGGCTATAGCAATGCTGGTTGATGTGGTAGGGTCAGCTGCACTGGTCGCAGCAGGAGTGTTCTTAACAGGAGTTTCTGTGGAAATTAATGTTTCATACTTGGATGCTGCTTATGCTGATGTGGGTATCATTCCCTCCTCGCTATTTTTCGATAATCGTTTCTTTGTGTTAATTTTATTTCTTCAATACAATTGATAGCACAATTCCAACCATAATTTCTTGAATATTTAACAGAGTGGATAAGGAAATCTTTTTCAAATCAAAGAATTGTTAAATGCATTTTATTATGGATAAACATGTTGACTTACCTATGTCTGTTGTTTCTTTTGGTAACGGTGTCCATGCTAGGCCTAATTGATGAAGAATTTGATTCATATTGCTATCTATTTGAATTAAAACACGGGAGGATGCTTCGCC